CAGGAAACTGTTGTTGTCTGACTCTCTGGGACCCCATTTGGGGTTTTCTTGGCAGAGATACTGGAGTGGTTTGCCATTTTCTCCTCCAACTCATTTTCACAAGTGAGAAAACTGAGTCAAACAGGATGAGGTGACTTGCCCAGGGTCCACAGCTAGCACGTGTCTAAGCCGGATTTGAACTCAGGAAGATAAGTCTTGCTAACTCTAGACCTGTTCATTGTGCCACCTAGCTGCCTCAAACACTACATAAATGTTAGCTATCATTATCATCGTGACTACTCTTATCCCCATTTTACAGACAAGGCCCTGAGGTAGACAGGGGTAAAGTGACTTGTCCAGGGTCACACAGCTAGTAAGTGCCAGAGGCACATTTGAACTCAGCTCTTCCTGACTCCGGGCCCAGTGTTCCATCCACTGTACCATCCCTAGAGATTCTTTAGAGAAGTTGCCTCATTTTGCAGAAGGAGAGACTAAAGAGAAGAGAGGGTAGTAAGCTGCCTAAGGCAATGTTATCTCTCCTTTAAGAGCCCACAGCCCTAAGAGAAAGGCCAGCTGACAGACTGTGGCCAGGACCACACAGCAGTCAGTCAGCTGAGAAAACCCCAATTTCAGGAAAGGTGCCGATGCAGAGGGCAGGTCTGGGGCCCTGAATGGAAGCCAGCAGCAAGCAGATGCAAAGAAAGACCAGGAGACCAGCGGCCACAGTGATTTGGGCCCCTTCTCTGGCCAAGTGGGAAGGCCTCTAACTCACACGGCTTCTTTTTCCTTCATGATCCAGGCCCAGGACTCAGGTGAAAGGAACCTGACCAGCGGACACCAGCACAGCTTCCTAGGCCGTGGAGTTTGGGCACCTTGGCCCCCTTGGCATCAGAAGGTAGCACTTGCCACCACAGCCACACATCTCCTCGCCTCCTCCTGCTTTATAAAGACAGACCATGCCACTGCTGCCTGGCATGCCACAGGATGGCGGACAGAGATGACGGCACATTCACAAACCGTTGTAGGCTCCCCAAGAGACGGGGCCAATGATCAAGTCGGTCACTCTGCAAACATTTCAGTGGCATTCCCTTATTTACTCGCATAACCAATTCTCTGTGGAAAATGTGCTCTTCTGTTAAGAAAGGAGGTGACAGGAAGGAAGCTGGGAACTGATCATTAAAAAGAGCACAGCAACATCCTCCCCTCCCAGTTATCTATCTGTGACACAAAGTATTATCTAGGAAACAAAGCGCCCCATGGATAGCCGGCTTTCAAGGAAACCACATGCCCACTCAACTTTTACAAGAACACTGACGAAGAGGAATCGTGCCTAGACACTGGCCACACCTCAAGTATGTCACAACAAACTGGGTGTTTTCCTAGGAAGCCAACAGCCAGATCATGTCAGCAGTTAGTGTCTGTTCCATGGAGAATGCCTACAAAAATAAAATCTTCTTGACCAGGGGTAGGGAACACGTGGCCCTCTAGGTGCTCAAGTGCAGCCCTTACCTGCAGCCTCGAGGCTGCAGACCCTGGGCCTGGCTAGTCAGCAAGAGCAGGATGGGTTTCATACCTTTTGAACACCCTTAAGAAGTGAATTAAATAGGATCTGGAAAGCCCCTCAGAAAGCCCCAGAACAAAGTTTTCTGAAGAGGGAAGGAAGACCTCACACAGCAATGCCTGAGTGAACTTCCCTCAAGGGCTAACTGGGCCAAAGGGACAAAACAGAAAGCGACATTCCTCTCCACAGGAAGCTTCTCCAGTCTGCAGATGTGTGGCCCCCTGGAAGAAATAACTCTGGGGCCACCAGGGGTACTAGTCGACATGCCAAAGACTAAGGCCAAAAGTGCCCAGCGGATGATCCACAGGCCCGAGAGACACCAGCTCTGAGTTTTAACTGGCTTCTGCTGCCCAAGGCCAAGTCGCTTCATTTTAAATCCTCCCTTGTTAAATGGGGGACACGGTAATGATTAGCAAGTTTCTGTTAACTGGATGCTCCTAGGAATAAAGATCCCTAGGGGAAAAAAAAGGCACTATGGTAATATTTATATCACAGCTTTCTTAAGCATGTGGAAATACTCATACGCTCACTAACGAACGCTCACAATACCCAGAAGGGGGGAGCTAGCAGCAGACATTCTTTCCCACGTCACCAACTGAGAAACTGAGTCAGGGTTGAAGAAAGTGAGAATATCAGCAACAGCATTCAGGCTCAAATTAAGGCCTTCCAACCTCTAAGCAAACAAGGCATCATGGCAGGACAGGGAGCATGATTCCTCAGACAAAAAAGTAAGACCCAAACACGTCTCTGAAAGGGTCACACTGACCCTTCTTTGGGTGAGACATCAAAGGCTGCAGTCACGGAAGGCATTTTGTAGGTCAACTACCCAGGAGATCAGAATTTTAGCCCTGCAGTCAGTATTGGAGGTCATCTACCTGTAATGCCTGGTCTGCAAAATGAACAGGCAGCAGGGCAGGGCAGAAGAAATGCTGAATTTGGAGCCAGGAAGAGCTAAGCTCCAAGCTTACCTCTGACACTAGTTGTATAACCATGGCGGGCAAATAACAACCTGTCTACTTCAATGTCTTCCTCTGTAAATGAGCATAAATAATACCTGTGTGGTACCATGGGGTTGTTATGAGGCTCAAATGACATGGTATATGGAGAACATTGTGCAAACCCACAGAAATGTTGACTCATCATTAAATCTTATGACCTTGCCTTTTTACAGATGAGGAAACCAAGGCCAGAGAGTGAAGTAACTGAGCAAGGGTCACAGAGCTGGTTTGTAGCAGAATCAGGTCAAGAGCTCAGACCTCCTGCCTCCCCATCAGGTGTCCTTTCCGTGACATCACACTCAATCTCTATTCTCAAAAACACCTTCCCTGACCCTCTCTTCTACAGGTTCCCGGCCCTCAGCAGAAACGGCATGTTTCCTTATTCTCCCCTCTTGCCAGGGAGGTCAAATAACTCATTCAGAAAGAGTGGCATTGGGAGCTAAAGCACAAATCCTTTGATTTCCGTTCATCTCATCTAGGCAGATAACAACAGACCCAAGCCTCACGAAGGCTCCAAGGCAGAACAGACAAAGTAATTCACTTACGTTCAAGTCTCACCTCAGAAACTTCCCAGATAAGTGAACATAAGCAAACCATTTAACCTCAGAGGGCCCCAGTTTCTGAATGTGTAAAATGAGGATAATAATATTGGTACAACGAGGCAGCTACATGGTTCAGTGGCTAGAGTTCTGCTGGGCCTGGAATCAGGAAGACCTGAGGTCAAATCTAGCCTCAGACACTTACTAGCTGTGTGACCCTGGGCAAGTCACTTAATCTTTGTTTGCCTTAATCCACTAGTGAAGCAAATGGCAAACCTCTCCAGCATCTTTGCCAAGAAAACCCCACAGACAGTCTGGGTCCACCAGGTCATGAAGAGTCAGATATGGCTGAATAACTCAACAACAGTAAACCTCCTCTCAGAGTGGAGGTAAGAAAAGTTCTCCGAACACATTAAAGCAATAGAGAAACCTGAATTATTATTGCACAGGTCCAAGGAGGTACATGAATGAAGAGTGATCACTTACTACCTCCTCCCAAATTCCCAACACTCCCCAACACCTATCCCAGTCACCTTAACAGAACCCCCTCTGCCTTCTTATTAATCTCTGCATCTGAAGTAAGCCAGAGTCTCCAAAGAGCAGATATCCATCTCCAGCCAAAGCCCCCCCAGACAGCCACGGTCAGGAGCAGAAGCCCTGGGGGGGCCAAGGGAGCAAATCAACAAGTAGGGTTTGGACCGGCCCTCACGGTCCTTCTGGCTCCACGTCTTCTGATCACCTGCCAGCCTCAGGACAACAAAGTCCTACTTCTCCAGCATTTTAAGGTTGACAAAGCACTTTCCTGTATCTAATTATCCTCATTTTACAAATGAGGAAAGAGAGTCCCGTAGAAACGAAGCTACTTGCCCGAGGTCACAGAGACAGCAAGGGGCCTCAGAGTTCAGAATCTGACCCCAGCTCTCCTGACCCAAGTTCAGTCCCTCATCACCACAATCCAATCCAATAAACACTGATTAAGTGACTGTATGTGCCAGGAGCTATGCTAAGTACTGGGGGTACAAAACGGAAGGAATTCCTGCCCCCCCGGAGCGTCACGCTTGGTCCCCCCGACCAGGGCGGGTGGGGGGTCCTACACAAGCGCCTCCCCCTGTCCGTCTCACCACACCACAGGGTCAGCACTGGAAGGGACAGCAGAGGTCGGCCCCCTAGTCCTCTCATTTCACAGACGAGGAAACTTTGAGATGTAGTAACCTGCTCAAGGTCACGCAAGCAGTAAGGGTCAGAGGTCAGGTCTGGCCCCTAGTCCCCCACCTCAAAGCCCCCGCCTGGCACCAGGAAGAAGCAGCAGAGGGAGTAGTGCTGTGCATACCTCGCCCTGGGGGCCAGGATCCCGCCCGTGACCACTTACCCCCTGCCTGCCTGCAGGTAAGCTCTTCCCCCGCTCTGGGCCTCAGTCTCCCCATCTGTAAAAGGGCGGTTCTGATGCCTACCCTGACCCTCAGCTGTGCACCCCTGGGCAGTCACTTCCTCCCCCTGGGCCTCGGTTTCCTCCTCTGTAAAAAATGACGGCGCCTGGCTAGGTGACCTCTGAGGCCCTTCCCAGCTCGGACGTTCCGTGAGTCTGGGACAGGCAGACTGGGGGAATGAATGAATGAATGAAATGAATGAATGAATGAATGCAGGGGTGGAGGGTGGCAGGCCGTCTCTGCCCCACGCTGTTCCCCGCTTTTTGCCCCCCCCCCGCACTGGGGGGAAGGGGGAGAGGGAAAGGGAGAGGGTGGGGGCTGCGCCCCGCTCCCTTCACTCCCCACCGCAGGCCTCCTGCTCGCTGCGACCTCTGACCCCTCGCGCCCCGGCCCTCAGCCCCTCCCGGGCAGAGGCCGCCATTGGTTTCCCCCCGCCCCGGGCCCTGACCCGGCCCCCTGACCCTCGGGGCCCCAGGGGTTTCCCCCCTCGGCTCGCCTCGGCTGGGCTGCACGACGTCCGCGGTCTCGAGCCCGCGCCTGCTCCGCCGGCCTCTCGGGTCTGTCCGTCCGCCCTCTCCGACGCCGGCCGCACTCCGAGAACCGTGGCTGTCACCTGCCGGGCGGAAGTGAGCCTGCGCGGGGGCACTTCCGGTGGACGCTGGCGCGCAGGGGGCGGGGCCAAAGGGAAGAGGCGGGAGGGGCTAGGGGAGCTGAGGGGGCGGGGCCAAGAGGACAGGCGGTGACGGAGGCGGGGAGGGCGGGGCGTGCACTTTCTTAGGGGTTAACCCTTCCGGTGCCACCTCCCAGCCCCGCGGAGTGATGTAGGACAAAAAAATTCAGCTCTTCTTGCCCTCCAGGAGCGTGAACTCTACCAGATCCCAGGGTCTTAGATCTAGAACTGGAAGAGACCTTCGGCCAATCAACAGGCGCCTACTACATGTGCTAAGCGCTGGAGAGGCGAAGAATGGCAAAAGCTACTTCCTGCCCTCAAGGAGCTTACAGTCTAATGAGAGAGACAACATGTAAACAGCCATGTAGGAACAAGCTGCAGGCTAAATTCTCATAGGGAAGGTGGATGGGGAAGGCTAGGGGCTGGGGAAATAAAGACCACGATCCCATAGTCCCCGCTGTCAAGGAACGTGGTGTGATGGGTGGGGACTTGGAGTGAGACTGGCTATGTGAACAGAGAGCTCTGAACCTCAGTCTCCGCATCTGTAAAATGGGGTTGATAGTACTCTATACTACCTACCTCTTGAGGGGCGGCGTGTCTTAGTGAATTAGAGGGCTAGCTTGGGAGTCAGGGAGACCCGAGTTCAAGTCCGACTTCTAATTTATATTGGCTATGCGGCTGTGGAGGAATCCTTCAACCTCTCAGTGCCCCAGGCAACTATTTAATACTGTAGAGTTACTGGAAGGAAGGTGCTGATCTACCTAGAGGGAAGTTTCTTCTCCCGGAGTTCCTTACACCAAAGATATCACAGGTCAGCCCCTCACTCCCCTATGCCCATCTCACCCTGCCCTTCCCACCTCACAGGATTGTGGTAAAAATAAAATGAGGCTGCTGATAGACCACTGGCCCTGAAGTCTGAAGGACCCGAGTTCAAATCAAGCCTCAGACCAAACACTTGACACTTACTAGCTGTGTGACCCTGTGCAAGTCACTTAACCCTAATTGCCTTTAAAAAAAAAAGAGCTGCTATATGTATAAAAATACATATATATCCTGGGCTGGATAATTGATTTTCCCCCCAATTTTATTTTATTTTCCATTCCAAAATCTCCACTCCCCCATCCACTGAGAAGACAAGAAAAACAAAGCCTATTACAAATATATACATATAGTTATAATTATAGTTACAATTGTCGTTATGAAAAACAAATTCTCACATTAGCTTGTTCAAAAAGAAAAAAAAACACCAGAAAGATGGAAGGAAGGAAGAGAAAATATGCCTCAATCTGCCCTCTGATCCATTAGCTCCCTCTCTAGAGGTGAGTAGCATTTTCCATCGGGAGTCCTTTGGAACTGTCTTAGATCATTGTATTGCTGAGAATAGCTAAGTCATTCACAGTTAATCATCACATAATGTTGCTGTTACTGTGTACAATGTTCTTCTGGTTCTGCTCACTTCACTTTACATCAGTTCATGTAAGTCTTCCTGGGTTTTTCTGAAACCATCCTGCTCATCATTTCTTTTTTTCTTTTCTTTCTTTCTTTTTATTTTTTTAGGCAAGGCACTTAGGGTTAAGTGACTTGCCCAGGGTCACACAGTTAGTAAGTGTCAGGTGTCTGGTCTGAGACCGGATTTGAACTCAGGTCCTCCTGACTTCAGGGCCTGCTCATCATTTCTTACAGCAGGGTAGTATTCCGTCAGAATCCTATAGCACAGCTTGTTCAGCCATTCCCCAGTTGATGGGCATCCGTTTAGTTTCCGGTTCTTTTGCCACCACAAAAAGAGCTGCTATAAATATTTTTGTATGCCCACATTTTGTGGGTCTTTTTTTTTTCTTTCTTTGAGGAAACTCAAAGAAAGTTTTGATCTCTCTGGGGTATAGCTGCAGAGTCAGTATTGCTGGATTAAAGAGTATGCACAGCTTCATAGCTTTGGTTCCAAATCGCTCTCCAGAATGGTTGGACTAATTCATAGCTCAACCCGTTTTCCTACATCCCCTCTAGCATTTTTCATTTGCCTTTTACGTCATCTTAGCCAATTGGATAGGTGTGAGGCAGAAGCTCAGCGTTGTTTTAATTTATATTTCTCTAATTAGTGACGTGGGTGCTGGTATGTGTAAAGAACCTGTAACAGGTAAACGTTAACATACTATCTACCTGTCATCAGGTCTCATGATGAGCTCAGTATTCACATTAACAACGGAAGGCTGGTATTAAGTCTCTGTTTTACAGAGGAGGAAACCAAAGTTGAAAGACGAATATGTCGCCCAAGGACGAGGACAAGCCAGTGGGAAATGTGAGCGCCGCGCTGGCAGCCCCGCCTCCCCCTCCATCTCAGTATTTTCAGACCCCTTCTTGGGCTGACCCTCCTTTTTGCCTTACAAGCTCCACAGAGCAGGAGATCTAAAAATAAAGAGATAATGAGAGGGAACGGGTGCTAATCCCATCAGCTGGTAATTACAGCTTGCAAAGGCGAGAGCAGGAAGCCTAGGGGTTTCAGTCTCTTTTCTCCCCCAATTGCATTCCTTCCCCCACCCCAACACCCCAGAACTCAGCTTGTAATAACAGCCTCCAACGTCTCCCTACTTTAAATACACGTTCTATCCCAAACTCTTGACAACATTGGGCAGCTGCTGCCCAAGCCACACCTCTAGGGATGATCGTGAACTTGACCTAACCTTGTCTTCCAAGGCAGCATGCATACGATGACAAGCATAAGCCCTTGCTTGAGGGAAAGGGGTTCAGAAAATTCCAATTCCAATAATAATAACTAGCATTTATATAATGCTTTAAGGTTTGCAAAGCGCTTTGTAAACGTCAGTTTTATTCTTATGACAGTGGGATTAACTATGGGTGCATTCATTCATTCAACAACCATTCACCAAGGGTCTTACTATATACAAAGTACTATACCAGGCATTGGGGAAGATACAGAAGAAGGTAACAGATAACCCGAACTCACTCTGTCCTGAACCCTCCGCTCTTTTCTCTCCACACTCTCTCTGTTAGAGAGCTCGTCAGCTCAATTGGTCAATCAACGAGCATTTTTTTAAAAGGTGCCTACTGTGTTCCAGGCACCATGCTTGCTGCTGGGCTTGCAGAGTACAGAACGAGATAGTTCTGCAGGGTTCATCTCTTGTCAGGTGATTCCTAGACTTAAAGATCCAGAGGCCACCCCTCTCCTGAGCTCCAGTTCCCATCACCAGTGGCCTGAGTCATTACTCTCTGCTTGTTAGAAATCTCAACCGGATGTCCCATGGGTCTCTCAAACTCAGCATGGATAAAACAAGACTCATCATATTTTCTCCTCTTCTGAAATTCTCTTTTTCCATTAGAGGCACTGTCATCCTTCCAGTAACCCAGCTTCTTAATCTTACAATCAGCCTCAGCTCTTTCCTCTTCTTCACCGCCCCTCCCCCCATCTAATTGGTCACCAAGTCTTACCAATTCCATCTCTATGATATATCTGACATCTGTCCCTTTCTTTCTACTCACCCCACTATGACCATAGCTCAGGCCATCATCCCTTTTCATCTAGATTATTGCAATAACTTCCTAATAGGTCTCCCTGCCTCCATTCTCTTCCCCTTTCCAATCTACCATTCACATAACTAACAAACTGATCTTTCACATACAGGACCAGAGCTTTAGAGCTGGAAAGTATCTTAGAGGTCATCTAGTCCAAATCTCTCATTTTACAGATGAGGAAACTGAGGCCAGAGAAGATAAATGACTTGCCCAAAGCAACCCAGTTAGTATTGTTCCCTCTTTTGTACTAATTTTCTTTGTTTGGGGGGGGGGGTTAAGCAATGGGGTTAAGTGACTTGCCCAGGGTCACACAGCTAGTAAGTGTTATGTGTCTGAGGCTGGATTTGAACTCAGGTCCTCCTGAATCCAGGGCCAGTGCTCTATCCACTGTACCACCTAACTGCCCCTTTCTTTTTTTTTAATTATGAATTTGGCAAATATCAGCAAACATGAACATTTCAAACATACAGAGAACATGAAAAGAGGATTATATATGAAACCCCAAATCTCTATTACAGATTATTTCTTTTTTTAAAAAGTATACATTCACTCTTTCTTTCCTTCCTTTCTTCCTTTGTTTCTCTCTCCCTCCTTCCTTTCCTTCCTTCTTTCTTTTTCTTTCTTTCTTTTACTTCTTTCTCTTTCTCTATCCTTCTTTTAAAACATCTCTATCACTATAGGCATGTTCTTAAAGCACAGGTCTGATGATGTCTCTTCTCTGTTCAAGCAGCTTTAGCTATAGCTCCTATCTCCCAGAGTTGTTGGGAAGAACATATGGCATAGTATGTAAAGTACCTTGCAAACCTTTAAGTTCTATAGAAATGCTAGTTATTATTATTATTATTATTATTATTACTATTATCCCATTCACCACATTGATTTTCCAAACTTTTTTATCCTTCCTCAAACCTCCTATGATTCTTCTTCCCTCTACTCTCAACTGAGAAAGACTGAGGCCATTCACTGAGATCTCTCTCCTCAGAGGTGACTAGTAGCCCAGTGGATAGAAAACCAGACTCAAGTTCTGAGTTCAAATCTGGCCTCAAACACTTAATAGCTATGTGACCTTGGGCAAATCACTTCACCTATGTTTGCCTCAGTTTCCTCATCTGCAAATAATAGCACTTGTCTTGCAGAATTGTTGTGAGGATCAAATGAGATAATATTTGTTAAAACACTTAGTAAAATGCCTGGCACATAGTAGGCTCCATATAAATACTTCTTCCCTTCTCCCTTCCTCCTCATCTCACATCATCTACATGCTGACTACCACTAGTTTCTCCTTCACCCCTGATACATCTAATGAGATGGCCACTCTCCTTGCCAAGGCTAACCCCTCTACCTGCACAAGCGATCCCATTCCAAGGCTAACCCCTCCACCTGCACAAGCAATCCCATTTCATCTCATCTTCTCCAGTACACTGATCTCTCTCCCATCTCCATG